AATATGTAATATATAATATATAATACAATTTACATAGTACATACAACATAATAAATATATGATACATAATACAGAATACATAATATAAAACCTCTAATATATAATTCATAATACATAGTACATAAAACATAAACATAATCTAGAATTCATAATACAGAATTAATACATAATACATAATGCATAATACATAATACATAATACAGAATACGTAATACATAATACATAATACATAATACATAATACATAATACATAATATATAATATATAATATATAATATATAATATATAATATATAATGTATAATGTATAATGTATAGTATATAATAGGTAATGTGTAATGTAATGTGTATTATGTAATATGTATATATATATATATATATATGCACATACATACATACATATATATATACACACACGTTGACCTTCACTATCGTGTGTATATAATATATATTTATATTTATTGATTTTTACTTATTTGTCTAATTTAATTATTTATTTATACGCATAGGACCCGCAGGACCAGGCGGACAGACAAGCAGACCAGAGGACCAGAGGACCAGGGGACCACAAGACCAGGGGACCACGGGACCAGAGGACCACGGGACCAGAGGACCACGGGACCAGAGGACCACGGGACCAGAGGACCACGGGACCAGAGGACCACGGGACCAGAGGACCACGGGACCAGAGGACCACGCAGGTGGGCCGGATGGCTTATTTTTTTGTTGGTGCCTATTATTTTTTTTATTGATCCCTATTATTTTTCTTTTTGATGCTTATTATTTTTTTTTGATGCCTATGCCCATGAACTTGTAGTCCGGGAACATGACGATCCCCGATGCAGGTGTCTCTGCTTTCGGTATATTCTTCTGGGTCAAGAGGAGCAACCCTAAACCCTAACGGCGAAGCATGCGGAGGCCACCCCTCTGATCTAAGCCCTTAAGCTGAGGTTGGGGAGGTTCCTGTAGGGTCCGAACTCAACCGAAAAAACCCAAACCCTAAACCCGAACCCGAAACCCTAACCCTGAACCCTTCACGTAGGCGCCCCTAAACCATGCATACTAGAAGGCCAGGCCTGAACTTCGAACACCCCCCAAACAACCCCAAATCGGCTCGAAATCTTACATGGTCCCTTGACTGGGGAACCCTCAAATGCCCCTGATGTACCCCTTAAAAACCCAAGGGCCCATAATTCAGAACCATGTAAAGAAGGTAAGGGACCAGATGATTCTCTTAGACCCCTTAAGCATCCTAAACCCTAGACCCTGGACGCTAAATACCCTAAACCCTAAACCCTAAACCCTAAACCTTAAACCTTAAACCCTAAACCCCGAACGCTAAACAATCCCAACCCTTAAACAGGGTATGAAGGGACCATGCAACACAAGGCCCTGTGAGTCCCCAAGTCCCCCTCAAAAAAGACCCTGAGTCCCCTCTAGGCCCTGAAGCCCTGAACCCCAAACCTCAAGTTTAGGGTTTAGGGTTTAGGGTTTGGGGTTTAGGGTTTAGGGTTTAGGATTAGGGTTTAGGGTTTAGGGCTAGGGTGGAAAACTAAAACCCCAAAAGCCCTGAAGCAATCAACCCGCGAGGCCCTCTTCTTCGCCTCAGCATCCTCGGGAGGAAGGCGCTGCCTCACAGAAGGGGCTTTCGGGGCTTCATATAGGGTTTAGGGTTTAGGGTTTAGGGTTTAGGGTTTAGGGTTTGGAGTTTCAAGAGCTTGGATTTCCGGGCGTTTTAGGGCTTAGGGTCTTGGGGTGTTTAGGGCGTTTTGCGGGCTCAGGGTTTTCGGGCTTCGGGTTTGGGGGCTCAGGGTTCTAGGGCTTAGAGCTCTTAAAGCTGGGTTCGAGGGTCTTGGGGTGTCCGGGACCAACCCTAAACCCTAAACCCTAGAGACTTTGAATGAGGGAGGACGTCTACGTAGAGCTGAAGACAGGGCTCCTTGGGACCTCGAAGCAGAAACCCCCAAACCCTACAAACACCCCGAAACCTATGCACCTAGATTTCTGAGAATCTCCCTATAAACCCTTATATAATTGATTAGATCCCTTCAACTCCCCAAATACCGCCAAATGCCCTCAATTACCCCAAATACACCGAAAAAGCAACATCAACATACCCCGAACCAACCTTCCCCCCCCCCCCCCCCCCCAAATGTCCCCAATTACCCCAAATACTCCGAAGAAAATCCTCAAACAGACCCCAAACCTACCAAAAAACCCAGCGTGCCCAGAGTACACCTGGTACACCCAACATGCCCCACCCTAAACCCTAAACCCTAAACCCTAAACCCTAAACCCTAAACCCTAAACCCTAAACCCTAAACCCTAAACCCTAAACCCTAAACCCTAAACCCTAAACCCTTGGCCACTGAGCACGTCCAGCTTTCCCTCTGAGGCGTCGGCACAGGGCAGCGACGCCCAGGCGGGCGGGGAGAAGCGGTAGAGACACCAGGATCTAACACCTCAACCCCCTAAACCCTAAACCCTAAACCCTAAACCCTAAACACCGAGCCCTGAAAAGCCCTGAAGGCCCCTTAAAGCCCTTAACTTACGTCCGTGGCTTCGGAAGCCCACTGGCTCAAAGCCCGAGCTTAGCTTGGGGTTTAGGGTTTAGGGTTTAGGTCTTAGATTTTAGGGTTTAGGGTTTAGGGTTTAAGGTTCAGGGTCTAGGGTTTAGTCTCACACAAAGACGAGACTGAGAAGCAGCTTTCTCTTTGTCTATGCAGGGCAAAGCCCTGGAAATCCTCAACCCTTAGACCCTGAACCCCATAAACCCCATAAACCCCGTAAACCCCACAAACCCTACGGGAACAATACCACCACCTTGCTCCGAACACCTCTGAGAGCCATCTGGCGGGAGCGCCGTGCGGGAAGCCGAGAGCACAACTTAGGGCTTGTAGGGTTGGGGGCTCGTCATTGGGTTTAGGGTTTAGGGTTTAGGGTTTAGGGTTTAGGGGTTAGGGCTCCAGCCTCTTGGCTCTGAGGAGGGGTGCTATGAGGGAATTACGAGTTCAGGGATCGGGGGCTCTTCTTTAAGCGGGCGTGTGGGAGTTTGCACCCTACACCCTAAACCTTCCTACTTCCTACTTCCTACTTCCTACTTCCTAAACCCTAAAGCTTGGGGTTGAAAAGTGTGTAGGGCCCAGCCTTGCCAGCCCTCTGAGCCCGGAACGGGTTAGGGGTTAGGGGTTCGGGGTTAGGGGTTTAGGGTTTAGGGTTTAGGGTTTAGGGTTTAGGGTTTAGGGTTTAGGGTTTAGGGTTTGGGGTTTAGCGTTTATCGTTTAGCGGTTGGGGTTTGGGGTTTAGGGTGTAGGGTTTAGGCTTGGGGTTGAGGGTTTAGGGTTTAGGGTTTATAGTTCTATAGGGCTTAGGGCTTAGGGTTTCGGGCTCAACTCCTGAAACCCGAAAGGACGGCGCTCCGCCTCTTGCCCGTGCCTCCCTCAGTCGTCTCTGGTCAGTGGGAGCCTTGCGCGAAGCATCCCTTTCAGGGATGCCGAGGCTGAAGCTGTGCCTTGAAAAGCCCCCTTGAGCATGAGCCTTGAAGGTTTAGGGTTCAGGGTGTAGGTTTCCCCTAAACCCTAGCCGTAAACCCCAAACCCCAAACCCTAAACCCTGTAGGGTTCGAGGTACCCCTTTGCAACAAAGAATGGACGAACTGTACAGTCACCCCACAAGCACAGCCCAGCCACAGGAACACGCCCCCTTCCCTCACGTTCGTGAGGGGAGGGGTACTTGAGAACTGCCGCGGTGTGGGCCCTAAACGCCCCAAAAACCCAAAAACCCGAAACACCCGAAAAACCCAAACACTCTAAACCCTAAACCCTGTACCCTACCCTACCCGGACGGGAGACCTATAACGCCAGGGAGTATAAACGCCCCAGCCCGAACCAAAGATCCCTTTCAGGGATGCCGAGGCTGAAGCTGTGCCTTGAAAAGCCCCCTTGAGCATGAGCCTTGAAGGTTTAGGGTTCAGGGTGTAGGGTTCCCCCAAACCCTACCCAAACCCCAAACCCTAAACCCTGTAGGGCTCGAGGTACCCCTTTGCAACTGCACAGTCACCCCACAAGCACAGCCCAGCCATAGGAACACGCCCCCTTCCCTCACGTTCGTGAGGGGAGGGGTACTTGAGAACTGGGGCGGTCTGGGCCCTAAACGCCCGAAAAACCCGAAAAAACCCTGCACCCTAACAACCCTACCCGCACGGGAGACCTATAACGCCAGGGATTATGGACGCCCCAGCCCAAACCAAAGGCTTCTGAGCACTGCTTGCGCTCGGAGACGTGTCTCTCAAGGTATAGGGTTTGAGGGTGACTCTTACGGCTTCTGCTTGTGGGCAAAGTTTGTGGTTGGGTTTAGGGTTTAGACTTTAGGGTTTAGGGTTTGAGGGAGACTCTTACGGCTTTTGCTGAAGGGTTGAAGGATACTAAAGCTAGACCCGGGAGTAACCTAGGAATAAAAAAGGTACTGTACCCTTTTAGGGTTAAAGGGGATTATAAGGGAACCCCAACCTTAAAATCAGGAAAAAGGGCCTACTCCCGGTCCTAGCTAAAGCCAACATCACAAGGCCACACCTGCCTACGATTGCAAGGTCGTAGTCCCTAGCAACAGGTCTAGATTGTGGAGCTCGGGATCCATACTGTTTAGGGTTTAGGGTTTAGGGTGCAGGGTTTAGGGTTTAGGGTTTAGGGTTCACGGTTTAGGGTTATCGGGTTTAAAGTTTAGGGTTTAGGGCCCCAAGCCCTAAACCCTTTGCAGCTGGAGCTGTTTGTCAATCCAGGCGACAAACGGTGGGTCTGCCCCCGTAAACGTTTTTCCTGAAGGCTGGCCCTGCGAGAGCAGCATGTCTAAGCAGCGAGGCCCGAGAGGGTGCTGAGAGAGGGGGGGGGGAAACCCTAAACCCTAAACCCTAAACCCTAAACCCTAAACCCTAAACCCTAAACCCTAAACCCTAAACCCTAAACATTACCTTTTAGAGTTCAGGGTTTCAAGAAGAAACACACTTCAGATGCGAGACATCTGCAGACAGTCATCCAGGTCGAAGGCTGCGGCTTGGACCTTTTGGTTGGGAAGCTCCTCCGACTCCAGGGAGCGGGCCTTGGGAATGCCATCGGGCTGCGCCGCCAAACGCTCTTCCGCCTTGGCCTAGGTTGCCCAGTATAGGGTTTAGGGTTTAGGGTTTAGGGTTTAGGGTTTAGGGTTTAGGGTTTAGGGTTTAGGGTTCAGGGTTAACCTAGGCGCAAAACGGGTGGCCCTTCTTACGTTGAAAAGGTGTTTACAAGGGCCTCAACCCCCCCCCCCCCCCAACAAAAGGGGAATAGGGGTACTGCTAGGCATCCGAGTGGCTGTCTCCAGGAAGACGTTCGCCTTGGGGATGTCTTGCGATTCCTGCGGATCGACGACTCCGAGGCCTTCCTCCGCCTCGATCGGGGCGAGATTTCTGAACCCTAAGCCCTAAACCCTAAACCCCAACCCTAAACCCTAAACCCTGAACCCTGAACCCTCAAAGGGTTCTGGGTTTAGGGCTTCTCCGTTGCGCCATGCTTGCCTCTGCTCCAGCAGCATCTCAGGGTAGTTACATGGGTCCCTGAACGGGTTAGGGTTTAGGGTTTAGGGTAGTATGGGCCCTGACAAGGGACCCCTTATCATATAGGGGCCTGAACAAATTTCAACAGGGTCTTGCGGAGTAGTATCGTATAAGTACAAAGGGACCTTGAGGGAATACCATGAGAAATTATTCCGACCCCCAAAGTGTGCCCTTATCTGCCCTATACAACCAAAGGGTCCATGCTTCAGAACCCAATAAAGGAAGTCACGGGCCATATTAAGGGCCCATGAAATTACCACCTTCAATCAGAACCCTACCCTTTGAACCATAACCCTGACGATGTTTGACGTTCTTTTGGCCTTATGCACGCGCTAAGACCTCAATCCTAAACCCCCAACCCTAAACCCCAACCCCAAACCCCAAACCCTAAACCCTAAACCCCAAAACCCTAAACCCCAAAGCCCTAAACCCTGAAGAGAGGGCTTGCTTTTCTTAACGAAACAAGATTTCTTATGTCCAGACTTCCCCCCCCCCCCCTTCCTATTCCTAGGAAGGCTAGGAAGGGGTGGTGGGGGGGGGGGGGGGCTGCCGAACTTGGGGTACTCTTCATGGGGGAGGAGGGCTTCATAAAGGATTCTCTTGTTTTGGGGTCGTTTTAAGGTAACTGTGCCCTTCATGGGGGTTCCTAGGACAAGGGCTGTGTGATTTTGGAGCATTTTTATAGGCATAAGCCCTAAACCTAAGCTTGCTAGAGCCCCTTCGAACTCCTTTCAGAAATATCCTTCAAGCCAGGGCGTCGCTGGAGCGCCCCTTGCGAAGGGTCTCGAAGACGAAGCATACCAGGCCAGCGGCGGCGATGAAGACCTCGCTTGTCACGTAGGGTTATGGCCACCTAAACCATATGTGCCCGCGTTCTGCGCTAGTCGGCTCCCCCCCCCACCCCTGCCCCCCAATGGTATCCCTCCCCCCCCCGCCATGGTATGCCCCCCAAACCCTGCCCACTAACCCTAAAACACCACGGACCACAGGGGGAGGAAAGAGAGAAACCCTCAACCTAAACCCCAAACCCTGAACCCTAAGCCCTAAAACCTAAACTCACCAATGAACCACAGGGAGAGAAGGGTAAACCCGAAACCTTAACCGTAAACCCAGCACGAACCACAGGGGGGAGAGGGGAAACAATAAACCTACCTTTACCCCAAACCTTAAACCGTAAACTCTAACCGTGAACCAGTGGACCAAGGGGGTCAGAGTGAAAATCCTGTACTCTACAGCCTAACCCTAAACCCTAGACCCATGACTGGGGGGGGGGGAACCCAAAACCGGGGGGGGGGGGGGGGGGGGGGGGGGCGGGGGATTGCCAGGGGAAGGGAGGAGCCAAGGAGAAACGAGGGGCACAGGGTACCCGCGTTGGTTCCCTTCGGGTTTATGAGGGCCTAATCCTACATGTGGGGCCTCGTCGGCGTCATCGAACACCTAACAAGGCCTGAAAGCCACAAGAGAGGGGTCTCAAAAGGGTACTGCTAGGATTTCTTTCGGTGTAGGGTTTAGGGCGTAGGGCGACATAGGCATACATGCCCTAAACCCCCCAAAAACCTAAATTTGGAGGTTTACGAGCATAGGGGCCCCCCATATACGTCCCCTGAGTAGTAGGATCCCCTCATAATAGAAGGAAAACCCTAGACCCTAAACCCTAAACCCTAAACCCCTAATTTCGGACACCCTAACTAGATCCCAGCGACGGAGATGAAGAAGGTGCCACTGAGGTCTTCCAGGCTTAGCACACCGTCGTCCTCGGCACAGCACTTTGTCAGGACCACAGAAAGGGGGTTTAGGGTTTAGGGTTTAGGGTTTAGGGATTAGGGTTTAGGGTTTAGGGTTTAGGGTTTAGGGTTATGATGATTCAGGGCTAGAGGTTTGCATGTAGGGCTTCAGTAAGGCCTTTAATATAGGGAAGGGGTAAAAGTGTTAGGGCTTGGTTCGGGTGTAGCTCGAGATAACTTGGGTCTGGAGGAGTGCGTCAACGCAGCTCCACCCGCAACTAACTCAACTACCTCAAGCCACGGCCTGTAAACCCCTCAACCCTACACCCCCTGAGCCATAAGCTTTAGCCCCAAAAAGCCCTAAACCCACCCTAAACCCTAAACCCTAAACCCTAAACCCTCAGAGCCCTAAACTCTTCCATCCCAAAACCCCCCAACCCCAAGACCGAAAAAGCCCAAAACCCTTAATTAAAGGTTTAGGGTTTAGGGTTAAGGGTTTGGGGTTTGGAACCCTTCTACCCTAAACCCTGCCAATATTCCAAAACCTCAAACACCCAAAGCCCCTATACCCCCTATACCCCCTAAACCTCCTAAACCCCCTAAACCCCCTAAACCCCCTAAACCCCCTAAACCCCCTAAACCCCCTAAACCCCCTAAACCCCCTAAACCCCCTAAACCCCCTACACCCCCTACACCCCCCACCCCCCCTACACCCCTTGAACCAAAAACCCTAGAAAAGCGCGCGCCGCACCCTAAAACCCCAAACATCCCTGAACACCTCTCAACCCTAAAACCCTAAAACCCTACAACCCTAAAACCCTAAAACCCTAAAACCCTAAAACCCCAAAACCCTAAAACCCTAAAACCCTACAACGCTAAACCCCTAAAACTCCACAACCCCGACAACCTTTACCCTGAACCCTAAACCCTAAGCCCTAAACCCTACACCCCACACCCTACACCCTAAACCCTAAACCCTGGCAAGCTTGGCGTCGTTCCCTTCCTCCGCCGCACAGTTTGGCACGGGAAAGCCATCCTTGTTGAGCTTGTTGCCCTTCACCTTTTATGGGGTTTAGGGTTTAGGGTTTGGGGTTTGGGGTTTAGGGTTTAGGGTTTAGGGTTTAGGGTTTAGGGTTTAGGGTTTAGGGTTTAGGGTTTAGGGTTTAGGGTTTAGGGTTTAGGGTCGCCTTCTTAGTTGCTGAGTTCATAAGCCCCCAAAAAGTGTGCACGTTTAGTTTTGTAAGGATTATAGTATCCCAAAAAGTGTAAAGTGTACTCACTCAGCTACTAGGACCTTTGTGGGGAGTTTGGCTGGTGCAGGGTTTATACTACTTCGAGGTTCAGGGTACTTCTGAACCCCAATATGACTGCACTTATAAGCCCCCCAAGTCCCCTAAGTAGGTTATAAGTAGACTTATTGTTGGGGTTAGAAGTACCCATTGGACCTCCAAGCAGGGTGTCTAAACCCTAAGCCCTAAACCCTAAACCCTAGACCCTAGACCCTAGACCCTAAACCCTAGTTTAGGGTGCAGTGCTAGGGGGTGTTCAGGGATTGATTGGGGGGTCTTTAGGGCTTTCGGGTTTTGGGGCTACCCTAAACCGTAAACCCCTAAACCCATAAACCCCTAAACCCCTAAACCCCCAAACCCCTAAACCCCCAAACCCCTAAACCCCTAAACCCCTAAACCCCTAAACCCCTAAACCCCTAAACCCCTAAACCCCCAAACCCCTAAACCCCTAAACCCCCAAACCCCTAAACCCCTAAACCCCTAAACCCCTAAACCCCTAAACCGCTAAGCCCCTAAACTCCTAAACCCCTAAACCCCGAAACCCCTGAACCCCTCAACCCCTAAACCCCTAAGCCCCTAAACCCCTAAACCCCTAAACCCCTGAACCCCTGAACCCCTAAACCCCTAAACCCCTAAACCCTAAGCCCTAAGCCCTAAACCCTACACCCCTAAACCCTAACCCATTTGCATTTTAGGGCTTCGCGGAGTGGTCGCCTCCTCCAGAAGCCCGTCCGTCAGCCCAGTCGTAAATGCCCAGGACAGGCTGTGCAATAACTTCTCGCTGACGGGGAAGGACAGTGGGACGCTCCAGAGCATCTCCCCAACCCTGATGAAGTTGCAGTCGTCACCTCTTGTAGGGTTTAGGTTTTCGGGTTTAGGGTTTAATTAGGGTTTATGAAATTGAAGTCGTCACCTTCTGCTTAGAGACAAATGCAAAGGTTTAGGGCTTTATCCATTTATGCGGCTTATCTGGTTTATCGGGTTTAGGGCGTTTATGGGTCTATGGGGTTGATAGGGTTTACAGGGTTTGTAGGGTTTAGTGGGTTCATGGGGTTGCATTGTGAGGTCTATGGTGTTTATGGGATTTATGGGGTTCATGGGCTCGCACGGTTCATGCAGTCTATGCTACTCAACCGAGTTGCGCGTCCTCCCCAGATAATCTGTTTCACAGCGGCCTTCATCTTCGGTGACCTAGCTCATGGCTGGGACAGTACTAAGAAGTTAAACTTATATTCTTATTGGGTTTTAGTACCCTTAAGAATGTAAAATGTAACCCAACTATGACAAAGTAACCTAGCTCATTGCTGGGAGTCGGGCTGCTCAGCTGAATCATTGGTTAAGGGTGTGGGGCTTCGAGGGCAACATGCAGAGGACGATGATCGCTTAACTAATCCCAAAGCCTAA